TTCTTCACGAAGTAACGGTAACGTTAACTAAATACTCACTACGTTACGTCGTCGTACAATAGAGTATAGTACGTCGTCGAGTACAATATATATATATATATATATATATATATATATATGCTCCCCACCCTCCCCCATCAATGACTCAGCGTTAAGTCTGAAAGCTTATAACGCTGAAAACCTGGTTTCGATATCCGTGGTGAGCACAGCACAAATAGCTTTTTTTGTTTAACATCACATAACAACTAGCAAAACAAACGAAATATATATAGGTGCTAAACACGGCTCGTAACTGCAGTTTCACATCACTGCATTAGCGTATACAAATCGTTTATATAAAGTGCAGTTAAACCTTTCTATTTACTTCTTTTGTTGAAGTCATATCATCGATATTGTCATTTAATTTTTTAAACTCTTTAATAATTTATAAATTGCCTATAAACAATTTAAAAATACACTAAAAAGCTAAAAATAGTGAAACTGATACAGACTTATATACTCAGTCTTTTTAACCCTGCACAATTAAGCCTTTAACTTTAATCAAAAATACAGGGAATGGACAGTAAAAACAAAATACGTTTTCTTCTATAAAACTAGCGCTACTGTAGAATCATTTTTCAGACATGTAACTTAAATGCTTTTGAAGGCAAATCCTGTTTTCTTCTTGAGGAACTCCTGTCTTAAAGAAGAAAAACACTTAAGATTATTTTAAAGGTTCTAAATGTTATATTGTTATTGTATGTTGCTCAACGGTTATTTAGACTAGACCACAAGTAGTTTTCGTAATGTCGGTCTTTATTAGTCGTTACTTCACTCGTTAAAGTTTCTACCAAATATATTTAAAGTTATTCTGTTTTTTTTTGTTTCTGTTGAAGATTCTGCGGGAATTTCCAGACGAGCTTCGAGGAGATGTTTCTATGCATTTAAACAAGGAAATGCTGTCACTGCCAATATTTGAACCTGCGCCTCAAGGGTGCTTAAAGCAACTGTCACACCATATAAAAAGCAACTTCTGCGCCCCTGGAGAGTATCTGGTACACACAGGAGACGCACTTAGTTATCTGTACCTTGTATGTAATGGTTCCATGGAAGTTCTTCAGAACAACATGGTGGTTGCTATCTTAGGTAGGTAGGACTCCAACCATAACAATCAAACCTCTTCCGTCTACACATGTATTCTTCTTAACTACGAGTCTAAACGTAACTATGATAAAAAAAGAAAGATATTTCCACGTAATGCTTCACCAGGGATTTCTATCTGCTCGTAATTATCTCTAATTTTGAGCCTATAGACTAGAAAGAAGACAGTTAGTCAACAGCACTGACTTCCAACTCTTAGACTTCTCTTGTCTAAGAAATAAGTGAAATATATTCTTCATTCTTAAAGCATATCAAGTTAAGTTAATGTTACCATAGCACCAAGTTATGTGTTGTATAGTTAAGTTAATGTTACCATAGCACCAAGTTATGTGTTGTATCAAGTTAAGTTAATGTTACCATAGTACCAAGTTATGTATTGTATCAAAGCTTGCTCAATAAATGTTGCTATCAAACTTCAATTTTGAAGCACCGACTGCCAACTTTTAGACTTCTCTCGTCTAAGAAAAGAGTGAGATTTAATCTTCATTTTTAAAGCGCACTCACGGCTCTAAGATGCGGAGCGCGTTTTTTCGACAACAGAACGCTAAACACTAGGCCACACCCGACTTTTCACTACTCAGTAGTTATAGATTAAAGCAAACTTGCAACAATCTAATACTTAAAAGAGCTTGATGAGTAAATTAATTTAGTGTTTTATTCGTTTATGGCTAGATTGTCGTCATTTACAACTTTTCTTCAGTGCAATTGTTATTAGTATGTTCCATAAATCAAGTTATGAAACAAAAACTAGAAATTAGTTATATCACCACTAATTTAAACATTTTTTTCGTACAAGTTCTGAAGAAACATCTTTTAAAAAGCGAAATATCGAATAGATTGTTAACGATCAAATATTTCAGCAATTCTTTTGTCCTGACGTTTTATATACTAATTAAATGTTTCAAATGGACTGGTCTATCTTTTATGATGTTTTATTTACAGTTTAAAGTGTCTCAGAGAGACTGGTCTATCTTTTATGATTTACAGTACAAAGTGTCTCAGAGGGACTGGTCTATTTTTTACTTCAGTTCATTTTTCTGGATTATATCTCGGCTTTTGTAAGAACCAAATAATATATAATAGTATATCCACCACACAACATCTGCCATGTTCAGTGTCGACGAAGTCTTTCCTTGAACACCAGGGCTCATCAGGCCAGCTGGGATACGACAGACATAGTAGTTATGGAGACGCTATTTATGTCTTCAGTTACTCGAACAAAAACTGTTTCGATGTGAATTAGATCAAGTTATTAAACTTTTTGTCAATCTTGTTTAAGTTATTGCTCTTCAGAATTAGGTTTGTGATTTTTATTCACACCACATTTTAAGGTTGACCCCCTTTCCTCGGGAGTGAATAAGTATTTGGTGATGTTTGTTTTCGCGCAAGGCTTCTAAAGAAGCATTGTGTTAGTATTAGCTATGAGCGTTAGATAAGTTACTTATACTGTTGGGATTTTTAGACAGGTAGAATAATTTATGGCAATTGTTTTATTTACCAATGTTAGCAGAACATTGCTCTTGGAATATTATTTCTAGTGTTTTTTCGTGATTTTGAGAGCATCATTATACCAAAATTATTCCAAAATGAGAAATGATATCCATTCGAAATTGGACTATTTTCAAAAAGGGAATTGTAACCCGGATTAAGTATTATAAGTCTTTTTTTTCTCCAAATTTTAAATACTAAGATAGATAAAACTGAAAATACACAGATTGGTAAAACCTTGCAGTCACTGATCTTCCTTAAAAATGTGTAAAATCGAATAACTACAATGACGCTGTTTGTCCTCTGAATCTTTGCGTTGTGATCAGAAAATTAACGATAGAAATATCACACTGGAAATACAGTTTTAGTTCAACAAACTACCTGCTGTGTCTAGGAAAAGGCGATCTGGTAGGATGTGACATTACGATGGAAATGAGTGAGTCCAGCCTCAAGTCTACCAGTGATGTGAAAGCCTTGACCTATTGCGACTTGAAGAGCATCTATATTCCTGGACTAAGAGAAGTTCTGAAACTTTATCCTGAGTTTGCAGAGAGTTTTACTCACGACATTCTTCTCGACTTAACATTTAACCTCAGGGAAGGATCTGATGAGGTAAACAAACTATAGATTGTTTAAACATGAAATTATCATTTTTTTTACACTTCATAAAGTTATAAGAAAATGTTAATGATAATATTTCTTCTTTAGTTTTTGTACTGTATTAAAATAATGCCTTAAACACAATATTTTGTTCTGTAGTTTTGTACTGTTTTAAAATATATTAAGCACAATACTTTGTTCTTTAGTTTCTGTACTGTTATAAGTATATGTTAAACACAATACTTTATTTTTTATTTCTGTACTGTTTTTTATGTGAATCGCAATACCGATTATAAGAATACCGTAAACACAACACCTTGTTCCTTAGTTTCTGTGTCATGAGTATATGTTAAATACAATACCCTTTCTTTAGTTTCTGTGTTGTGTTATAAGAATACACAGTGCTTTGACTTTTCAGGTTTGGTCTTTTACTAAGGATTAATAACACTATCACAACGATATTACAGGATCTTTGTCGCTATTGGCCTATCCCTGTCGATCATTCTTGGTGTTGCTCATGACTGCCCGTTGTTGTCAGATATTGCGATATCCCTCCGGAACGAGCTTTTGCGGAGGACAGCGGCAAATTTTTACTTATGTGAGAAACCTTCAAAGATCATAAAATCCCAAAGAAAATATTATTTAGATTTTCTGCGCCGTCGCACTGCTTCGACAGACTATTTCATTACCATATGCAAATCGTTCTGATATTTAACCGTTCCCATATGAACATATCCTTCCATTTGACTCCTTAATTTATGGACTGTTTCTTTGTGAACGTATCTTAAGCACAATGATCGTTTTGCCAATCTCAATTTATCATTCTTCTCATCTTATTTTCTTCCTTAGTACCAGTAAGTGTTATTTATTCGAAACGTTGACCACATATTATCTAGCTTACAATTGTTTTAACTATTTCAACTTAACACGCTATACCTTCAGAGCCATTACCCATCATTATGAATATCATCTTATACATTCCTTGTGAGGCACTTAAATTCGAAATATTTCTTTTTTAACAGAGTAACTCTGAAACATTTCCCGGTTAGAGTATATCGATAGAGATTCTTAACGAAAAGAATAAAAATCTGAGCAATAAGGTATTGGAAAGTTCAGCTTTAACCTTATGCGACACGGGAATTGAACACCAGATAGGCGACCATTAAGGTTTACCCATAACCATCTCCAATTTAGAACTGCTGGCTAGAAATGAGAGCAACCATTTAGTAGCACCCGCCACCTATTATGCGGATACTTGTAACAAGCAGAGGAATTGTCTACCGCAGCTATAACGCCCTACAGCTCAAAGTGCTGAGCGTATTCAGCGGCGTACCGCGGCTCGAACCTAAGGTCGTCTGATTATAGTCCGGCACGCAAACCACTTGGGCTACGCCCTGTCCATATATAGGGGGAAAAAAAGTTTTTGTAAACCATGAAAATCTCTTGTTGATACTATGGACATCCATTAAGAAATATAATTACTAATGTTTGTTTTGTTGTTGTATAGTTAGTAATTAAGGAAAGTAATAAACAGAAAATTACATAAGTTAGGTGTAAGTTAAAGGACGTATTCACAGAAGTTGTTTACTAAGTCCTCATAACAGATTTTCGCTTTCGCTAGTTTCTGTGTATTTTTGATACAGTTTGTCTGTCACTATTAAATTAGGTTTAGGGTTCATATTGCTTCTTGTTTAGGTTTTTAACCAACTGGGTTTTAACTTAGAAATTATTTAAGGAATTTAAATAGTCGGTTTTTATAAATATGAATTTAGTTTGCAACCATTTTTTACAGAAAGTTTGAAATGTTCGTTTTGGATGCGCTAGTTTGTTCTATTACTTTGAAATGTAGATTTGGATTATAGTCACTTTTCGTGTTTCACAAAAACAGATTTAACATTTCAGTCTGTTTTTTTTCTTTTCTTATTTTATGAAGCACGTTTAGCTCAATATTTTCGTTGTACTTCTAAAAAACTGGTTGAAATGTGAGCTAATTTATTTTACAACTCACTAAACGTCCTTGAATTTTAGCTATTTCTTTTCTTTCTCACCAGGAGGATGTTATGAACGGAGCACATTCGTTAGTTCTGCCGTCGATATCAGAGGACGACGAAAATCACGACAGTAATCAAGCTTCACCACTTCTGTCTCCTGGTACTCCGACAAAGAAGAATACATGCCGTCCTTTTCAAAAGTATGTTAAAGCAAGCTTCAGCTTGATTGGTACATGTAAAAAAATGTTTTATCAACAGACTATTAGGTGCTATATTAACAATTTACATCCAGACTGTTAAAGCAAGCTTCAGCTTGATTGGTACATGTAAAAAAACATTTTGTTTTATCAACACACTATTAAGTGCTATTTTAAAAATTTACATCCAGACTGTTAAAGAAAGCTTCAGCTTGATTGGTACATGTAAAAAACATTTTTTATCAACAGACTATTAGGTGCTATATTAACAATTTACATCCAGACTGTTAAAGCAAGCTTCAGCTTGATTGGTACATGTAAAAAAAAAAAACATTTTGTTTTATCAACACACTATTAAGTGCTATTTTAAAAATTTACATCCAGACTGTTAAAGCAAGCTTCAGCTTGATTGGTACATGTAAAAAAACATTTTGTTTTATCAACACACTATTAAGTGCTATTTTAAAAATTTACATCCAGACTGTTAAAGAAAGCTTCAGCTTGATTGGTACATGTAAAAAACATTTTTTATCAACAGACTATTAGGTGCTATGTTAACAATTTACATCTAGACTGTTAAAGCAAGCTTCGGCTTGATTAGTACAGGTAAAAAAACATTTTGTTTTACCAACAGACTATTAGGTGCTATGTTAACAATTTACATTCAGACTGTTAAAGTAAACTTCAACCTTGATTGATACATGTAAAAAAAAAAATATTTTGTTTTATCAACAAAACTATTAACAGCACCTAGCACTGTTAGGCACTATATTAACAATTTACACCCAGACTGTTAAAGTAGGCTTTAACCTTGATTGGTAATGTTAGAAAGTTTTTTTTTGTCTTATCGACAGACTATTAAAAGCACCTAGCATTTTTTTAATGTCTGTTTAAACCTGTGTAATATTACTCAATGTAATTTCTCATTATACTTTTCAACTACTTAGGGAAGAGATTTCTTCAGATTTTCACCAAAATCGACGTTTATCAACTGACCGGTCACCATCGAGATGTAGCAAACTAAGATCTGTGGCAACTCATCCTAATATTGGTAACTATCAACATGTTTTTCATTTATCTAGTCGCGGATGGAAATAGATTGATGTGTTTACATAAAGTAATTAAATCCTGAGACGTAGTTCTCTAGAGATGTTATGATATATCAGTGTATCTTGCTTTTGGAACAATATTGTCTACATCACAACTTTAATGCTAAGAAAAATCAGATACTTGCAGTGTTATATGGAGATCTAATCTTCTAATAACAACAACAAAAAAATTATGTTGCAACTATAATCCAAACAAAGTCTTTTTTTGTGACGAACATTACAAATATGTACTGAAAAGTTTTATTATTTATTATCAGGCAGGTGGTTGAACTGCCTATGTAGGGATGGCTTGGATTGTTAATCTAAGTGGTATTTTCAATATTTCCTCAATAGGTCATCAGAACTTTACAATACTATACAGTATTTCCTTTTATAATAATATGTATGTAAAGACTGAGTCACAAGTTCTGGGAATGTCTGTAAATATCATAACAAAGTTTGAATTTCTTGTTCTTCTGCTTCTTTTTTTATTACATGATAACTGAAAAACCAAAACAATGGTGTCAGCCAATTTCACTGAGTTGACATATTTTCAAACAGAATAGCCGCTTTTATAAGTATTATTAACTAGTAATTTAAAAATATCGTAAGTCTAGTGTAAACGATGTTATCATTACTCCTGAAAGAAACAGAAATTACCAGCCAATAATTATAAATAGACAAACAATAAATATTACAGTTGGATCATTATTTTATTTAGAACTTGGTTATAAAAACAACCTTCCCATGTTTATTGAAACACTATTAAAATATAACAAGCAAACAAGTCAAGAAAAAAATTTTCAAGAAGGAAGTAAATGTAGGGATGGCTAATTCAATCCTTCAAAGACAATGCAAACGAGATAGTAGGGATTTCATCCCTAATATCCCTGTTAGTCATCCTTACATTTACTTCTCTTTTTGAAAATGTTTTCTTTACTTGTGTTCGTAGTAAACCAACAAATGCTTTAATTTAGTCTGAATATTATCATTATTGTGTTGGAAATAATCGATCACTTAAGAAAACGAAAAAGCAGTTTTCATGTCATGAATATCATGAACAAAATATGAAAATAGGTGGCTATTTTAGGTAAATTGAGAAATAGGTGGCTATTGTAGGTAAATTGAGAAATAGGTGGCTATTTCAGGTAAGTTGAGAAATAGACAACTGTTTTCGACAAATTGTGAAACAGGTGACTATTTTAGGTAAATTGAGAATATGTAACTATTTTAGGTAAATTTAGAAATAGGTAACTATTTAAGGTAAACTGGAAAATATGGTTCGAAAAATATCATGAGTTCACACTGAAATGAAAATAATTGTCTTAGTTAACAAACAGGGGCAGATATGGTGTTTATACTTATCTTTTTCTCACCGCAGTGAATCTACATTTATGTAGCATTTAGTAAAGTGAATGATCCAGTTCAGTGAGACAAGTAAAAAAAGAAGACAGTGGTAAACACCATGCATGTTGATTATATTGATAGCGTTTAACGTTTCGTAAAATTACAGGGCGGACTTTGGAGCTTTATGAACTACGAGAAGAGCTAGAAGTCACCAAAAACAACTTGGAGAAATTAGACACACAGATGACTGCTCTCATAAAGAACGTGGCGTCACTAAGTAATGATGTTCGAGTCACGTTGACATTAGTGCAAAGGTTTACTGCTCGAGCTAGTAGTGGCCCCTTTCAGGCCCATTATCAGGATTTCTCCCAGGAATGCTACGTTTCTAAGCCCTTCACCCAGTTTTCATCACAACCATCTGGGATTTCATATACCCAGACAGAAGTTGACCAGGAGACTCGTCTCCGTGCCACCTCTAGAATAACACAGACTGACAGTTATCTATTAAATGACTTATCAAACGATCAAGGGGAGTATCAGTCTCCTCCCCCAAATTCTGGCTACTCCTCTAGTTCCTCCAATGAGGAAAAGGCTCGTTTCGTAATCGGAAATGTCTCGTTTATAACAAAAGAAGAAGAGGAGATTATGTGCGACGACAGTGTCTTCAAGAACACTGGTTCAATCAACCACAGTATTTCATCTTCCAAGAACGGTGTATTAGATTTGGAAACATCTCAGTTTCAATCCGTTGATATTATCGAGGACAGACGGCACAGAGATCACGTGAACGACGTCAGTGAGCGACTTCCACCTCGTAGAACTCTGTCGACTGACCTCTGAACTTTACATTATTCTTATAAATCCTGATAGCCACTTCTGAAACGTAAGCTTGTTCTAAAGTCTTGCATTTTCGAAATAGCCAATGCAGAAATTATTCGTTATCAACAGATCGCCACCTGGTGAAAGTCGAAAGAAATAACATTTTCATCAAATTATTATGATAAATAGAGAGAGAGAAAAAAAACAAGCCTATCAGTCAGAAGATCATCAGATATCCTAAGTCTTAAAAGTGAAGTAATTAACTAGTATTATAATTGTACTGTTAACTAGTGATATAAGCTATTTTACGGTCGTAATTAAACGTTTGTTACAAGTGAGTAAAATTACCTATAAATTTTAAAATAAACTCTCCAAAAAATCTGGGTTTTGTGAAAGGAGCATAATTAAATTAATTTCTTAAAAAAATATCGGAAGATAATTATTTGGGTAGTTAAAGAGTAAAATTCTGCATAAAGACCCAATTAAGAGGAGAAAAAAAATTGAAGTTATATTTAAAAATCAATAATTTTCCAACTAGGCTTCACTTCGAACAACTAACGATTTAAGTTGTACACTAATCCCCGCAGTTCAAATATTAATTACAGCCTAGGTTAATCTCTATTCCTGTCTAAGATTTTGTTCGGGGTGAAAATCAACTGGTGATTAGCGAGTAAAGACTTTTACATATCCATTCGGTATTTGGAAGATTAGTTTTGGTTACTTTTATTCAAGCTAGGCAGCGGGGAGGAGGAGGATACTTTTCAGTTTGTCCCGATAAAAATGGACCAGAACTAGGTTAATTGTTATCAGGAAAAGCACGAGAATGCATAAAATTTAATCCAGAGCCCAAGAGCTTCCAGTACCGTAGCATGTTTCCTCGCTTCGCTCGTTCAAAAATAAACCTTGCTCCCCCACACAAACACTTTTAATTTGTCTCTTACACCTCTGCTTTACTTCTGGAAAGCCACAATCAGCGGTGGAAGATTTTAATGTTTGAAATTACTTTTTATATTAAAAGAAATGGCTTATGTTTTCTTCGTGCACTTTTACAAGTCAAAACTACATTTATTTGTGATGAACAGGTTTTTGCCACAGTAATTTGTGAAAATACTGATACTATATGATAATATGATAAAGTATTTATTAATTTAATGATGAACTGGCTTTCGTCACAGTAACGAACAGTAAACTGTGAAAATACGATGAAGGATTTATTAATTTGATCATACGATTCGTGATTTAACAATTTTACCACGAGATTTTATCATTATCATTTGATATATACCCGTACCTCACGGCTTGAAATGTATATACTCTGAAAATTTCTTTGACTTTCTGTGATTATGTATGACGTACTCTTTCACACTGTTGACGTATTATGTATATAATAAAATGAGGAGGAACGTCCTGAAAAAAAACCAACAACAAACAAACGTTATTTTCATTCCAACATGTTAGATGTAGTAATATGTAGCTGAAAAATGTTTGTATTAATATGTCAGTATCCGTCCGCTTCTAACGATATGTTATGTCGTGTGTGTGAGTGTTTACGATAAGTAACGTGCAAAACATATGAAAGACAACTGCAAATGAGTTTGGATTTCAGCAATGAACTGTAATAAAGTTATTACCGAAGGAGGGCCTTCAGTGGTACAGCGGTATGTCTGTGGACTTACACCGTAGTGGGCAGAGCACAGATAGCCCTTTGTGCTTAATAACAAACAACAACAACCGAAGGAGGTTGATAAACTTTGCACATACACTACAATCGCAAAATTTGATCCTACTATATATACACCAAATGTACCAGAACCAAAATGGTATATTTTCCTTTGTAGCATGATAATATTACTCCTCATATTATTCGTTGTAGCATGATAATATTACTCTCCATATTATTCGTTGTAGCATGATAGTACTACTCCCCATATTATTCGTTGTAACATGATAATATTACTCCCCATATTATTCGTTGTAGCATTATAATATTACTCCCCATATTATTCGTTGTAACATGATAATACTACTCCCCATATCATTCGTTGTAGCATGATAGTATTACTCCCCATATTATTCGTTGTAACATGATAATACTACTCCCCATATTATTAGTTGTAGCATGATAATATTACTCCTCATATTATTCGTTGTAGCATGATAATATTACTCCCCATATTATTCGTTGTAGCATGATAATATTACTCCCCATATTATTCGTTGTAGCATGATAATATTACTCCCCATATTATTCGTTGTAACATGATAATACTACTCCCCATATTATTCGTTGTAGCATGATAGTATTACTCCCCATATTATTCGTTGTAACATGATAATACTACTCCCCATATTATTAGTTGTAGCATGATAATATTACTCCCCATATTATTCGTTGTAGCATGATAATATTACTCTCCATATTATGATAATATTACTCCGCACATTATTATTTATGCAACATCTGCAATTCAAAAGTTCAGATGGTCAGCTTCCTCCATATCCTGCACTCTTTCAAGGATGGTCTGCGTGGACAACAATTTCAAACAACTGATTTTTCTTAACACACTTGTGTGAAAATAGATCCGTAACATAACATCTGTATTCTACCGAACAGGTGTAATAAAGCTTAAAAACGACGAAGAAAATGTAGTGTACCACTTAACGTTGATTTTCGCATAGAAGTAATATTATTCACACTCTTAACAACAATGGCGTGTGCATTTATTGATCTTAATTTGAACAGCCCTCATAATATCAAACTTATTATGGGAAAATTTGAAAGGAATGAATGCAGTGTGAAACTTGTAGTAATTTTTAACTTGATTGTAACATCTCAGTGACCTGGTATGGTCTTATGGTTAGGGCCTTCAACTAGCAATCTGTGGGTCGCGAGTTCGAATCCCTGTGGCTGAACATGTTCACCTTTTCAGTCGCAGGGACATTCTAATGTAACGCTCAATCTCACTATTCGCTGGTACAAGAGTTGGCGGTAGGTGGTGTTGACTAGATGCCTTTCTTCTAGTCTTTCACTGCTAAATTAAGGTCTTCGGTTACCTGGAGCGGATATGGGCGCTACCATGTAAATCACTGATGAAGCACCAGCATCTGAGGTATATATATCTTAGTATAGTAAAGATCAGTGAAAAATAATTACTTAAGATTGTATTTAATGGTAAAACAGGCAATATGATCATTAGTAATGTCATATTAATATTTCCTTCGTTATTGTGTTGATCTTAATATAATAGAGTTATTGAAAACATTTTATTGCAAATAGAACAATCTTACAATTTGAGAAGAAGATGAAATGATGAATTCAGTTGGTTTAGAGACTGTTTTAGATTAGGTATCGCTAGGGTCACTAATTGTATTTTCTCTCAGTTTTATTCACGACACTTGCGTTGTCAGCGTCCACTGTTACATTAGGCATTGACAGCACTTGTATTACCTCAAGTTGAAGACGATGAATATTTAGGACAAGTCTTAGGGTGTTCAAGAACCTCTGTATTTTCTACTACCCACTGATCAATGAAGTAGAAATATAAATAAAATGAACAGTTGGTGATATTTGAAAATGCGCAAACGTGAATAAAGAAAATATGATTGAACTAAGAGTAAATTGAGATAAAGAAGACAAAAGCACGATGGCAACAGGAAACAAGAAACAACTTAAGATAAAGAAGAAAGAGACAAAAGCACGATGGCACCCGGCAACAGGAAACAACATTTGGGCCAAAAACAAAACAAAGGGAAACAACCAAGTTATCAAAATAACTGAAGATAGAGAGAAAACCACGAGAAAGGGTTCTGTTGGAGATAAGCGTTTAGGGAGTACATAAACAGGACAATGTGTTCATGATAAGAAATTGAACTCGGAGAAGAGAGTTAATCTTTAACATCAGCGTTTACATGATAAAGGTCAATAAAGAAACTATTAAGTTTTGGTGGTGGGCAGTTAAGGATGAGCATAAAATATCAGCCTAGACTGCTGGGAACGCGAAAAGGAAGGAAAATGAAAATCAGAAGTCTGAAGTGTAGCTTGTGAGTTGTGTATTTAATATTCGTGATAGAAGGATCGGTGCAGGTTTTATAAATATAGCCAGTTTGAGTATAAAGAGGTTAGAGTGAACAATTTAGGTTAGCTAGAGAAAGTAAGTACAAGAAAGCAGTTCGTTTATGTAGAACGATGTTGAGTGTCTTTAGAAATCAGGACAGGGAATAAGAACATCGTTAGAAGATAGGTTCTAAGAGAAGACCGTAGGCGTCTGTTCGGAGAGTTGTTTTATAGTTCTTGGCTTATTACGTAATGAACAAAAAGTGTATCTGACAAGTTATGGAAGAGAAGTGGTTGTTAAAGTTCTGTAAACATTTCTTAGAGTATGTTTTTTTTCCTATTCGAAAATTGAAAGTACCAGTGAAAAAGTCTTGAGAAAAGGGAATGAAATAAATATATACAGCAGGAGATATTAAGGCAACTAACAGAATAGACGAGGAGATAAAATAAAAGAAATTCCAAGTAAGATAGTAGAGTTAATATAAAACTTTATAATCGGTTATAAGCTGGCCGGAAACGACAGAATTGACAGATAAAATAAACTGTTTGCTCTCAGTGAAAGCTGAGATGAGAAGCATTTCTCGCATTTCCTTGCGAGGATTTTATTGATGTATGTTCATTCATTTCAGTAGATAGCGATGGATTCCAGCGAGGACAGGTATGCTTATAAAAACAGAGAAACGGTTGAGAGTTATATAAACTGCAGAAACAAAAAATAACAAATAAATAGGTTTCAAAACACACCCAACAAGAAAATTATGTCAGATATACATTGTTCAAGTGAGTGGCGTACTTTTTCTTAACATACTCGGAATGTTTTACTCATTGTATCGAAGCAAAAAACTGAAAGATTTAGCTTCAAAAGTAAAACTGAAAGGCGAAGTTCAGATATATATAAATTAAATGTTGAATCTCTAAACTCAAATATCACAAAAGGAAACTAGCACTGAATTCGCTCAATTTCAGAACAATCTTGGAAAACAATCAATTGTAATTACGAGCTATTCACATCATCATCATAAACTTTGAAAAACTCTCAATTTTGGTTGTTACTATATTCAACCAAGTGTAACTTACTTACATTTCAAAAACTCCCAATCATGGATGTTATTTTAGTCAACCAAGCGTAACTTACTTACATTTGAAAAAAACTCCCAATCTTGATTGTTACTTTATTCAACCAAGAGTAACTACTTACATTTGAAAAAACTCCCAATCTTGATTGTTACTTTATTCAACCAAGTGTAACTATTTACATTTGAAAAAACTCCCAATCTTGATTGTTACTTTATTCAACCAAGTGTAACTATTTACATTTGAAAAAACTCC